TTTTCTGCCCCCAGTGCCAGGCCAGGGCCTGGCTCAAAGGAGTATCAAAGACTGTTGATTGAAAAAAGGAGGGAACAAGGAATGGGACAAAGTGGGTAGAATGAAAGCATTAGGACCTTCCTCCTGAGGAGAGGAGGCGAGAGGCCAGACAAATGGCTTCTGAGCTCCATTCCCTATCTGTGGAATGAATGCACAAGACTAGGGCCAGGTAAGGGGAGCACAGGTGGGGAACACTCAAAAGACTGGCCCCAGCAAGGAATTGCAGGACCAGCCCCCACCTGCTTGGAGCCAGGTGAGGTGGGGCTGGGATTTTGGTGTTCCAAGGAGGGCATAGTGCGACAACCGCTGACAGACCAGCTAGGCGGGTACTGGGCCTCTCCACCGCCCCACCTGGGCCCCAACTCACTGGATCATGCAGTGGGCCACAGTCAGCACCCACCGCGAGGCAATGATGGTGCCGGCACAGATATGTGTGCCATTGGCCCGCACGCTGACCATCCATGGCCACCGCCGAGCCATAGCCTGGTGCCTGAGGGTGGGTCCGACTCGTAGGAGAAGCCACAGGCTGAGGAGGAAGGTGGGAGCTTGATAAGGGATGGGCTCTTCCTGTTCAAATCTCTTTTCTATATGTATTAGTTGGCCAATTAATTTCTTTCTATTTATAGTAGAGACGGGGTCTCACTCTTGCTCAGGCTGGTTTCAATCTCCTGACCTCGAGCAATCTGCCTGCCTCGGCCTCCCAGAGTGCTAGGATTACAGGTGTGAGCCACCGCGCCTGGCCTGGACTCTTTCTGTTATCCCATGCTAGGCCTAGAGAGGGGCAGAGGCCCTGTGGAGTCGGCCAGGGCCTTGTTCGCTGACTGCCATCCTTGGCATTCTCCTTGAAGTCTCCGTGTTGGCCCTGAGGCCTGGAACATGCTTCTCCACTGTCAGCTCTCACAGCCAGCACAGACGTTACCCTCTCGCCACTCCCCCAGTCCCAGAACATCAGTGTCCCCATTCTTTTGTCCCCACACCCACCAAACTCCCTTGTGAGCATCTGTCTTCTCCCCTACCGAGCTGAGAGGAATGGTCCATCCCCTCTCTGCCCCCAGTGCCCAGGCCAGGGCCTGGCTCAAAGGAGTATCAAAGACTGTTGATTGAAAAAAGGAGGGAACAAGGAAGTGGGACCAAAGTGGGTAGAATGAAAGCATTAGGACCTTCCTCCTGAGGAGAGGAGGCGAGAGGCCAGACAAATGGCTTCTGAGCTCCATTCCCTATCTGTGGAATGAATGCACAAGACTAAGGGCCAGGTAAGGGGAGCACAGGGTGGGAACACTCAAAAGACTGGCCCCCAGCAAGGAATTTGCAGGACCCAGCCCCCACCTGCTTGGAGCCAGGGTGAGGTGGGGCTGGGATTTTGGTGTTCCAAGGAGGGCATAGTGCGACAACCGCTGACAGACCAGCTAGGCGGGGTGACTGGGCCTCTCCACCCGCCCCACCTGGGCCCCAACTCACTGGATCATGCAGTGGGCCACAGTCAGCACCCACCGCGAGGCAATGATGGTGCCGGCACAGATATGTGTGCCATTGGCCCGCACGCTGACCATCCATGGCCACCGCCGAGCCATAGCCTCTGGGTGCCTGAGGGTGGGGTCCGACTCGTAGGAGAAGCCACAGGCTGAGGAGGAAGGTGGGAGCTTGATAAGGGATGGGCTCTTCCCTGTTCCCCCACCCTCTCCACCTGACCTCCCACCTCTCCAGCCACTGGCCTGCACCCATCCAGGTGGTGCTTCTTTTCCACTTCTCACCACAGAAGGATGCTGTCCACATGCGCACTGGGGTCTCCAGCCGCAGGAGGGCCTCAGCACTGCCCAGGCACCTCCCTGTTCCCATAGCCTGGGCCCGAAAGCATCCCCAGCCGACCAGCCCAGAGTACCACTGGCCCCTTTGTCCTGCCCAGCACGCCCTCAGCTCCAGCCAAACCCTCCCCAAACTCATCTGTGTTTCCATTTGGTTCCATCCTCACCATGTCCCCAGCTTCAGCCGAAGCAGACCCTTCTCCCTCCTCTGGGAACCCCCTCCTGTGATTCAGTGAGAGGACAACCCAACAGAAAAATAGGCAATGTGTATGAACAGGCATATCTCAAGGAGGAAACCCCAGCAGCAAATGGCCACAGAGCTGCCCAGGCCTGTCAGTCCTCATGGAAATGCAGATTTGCATCATAATGAGGTTCTGCTCCATACCACCTGCCTGGCAAAAACTAATGTCTCTGGTCTTCAGTGCTAGTAAGGATTAGCACCCCAGAATCCACGTGTGGGGGGGGGAGGGAGTGTCCATTGCTGCAGCCACCTTGGGAAGCAGTTTTTTAAATTGAAGATGCACATAACCCACACCCCAGCAGTCTCACAACTAGGTGTTCTCCGAATGCATTAGTAGATGGTACAATCAACATAAGTGGGCCATGATAGGAAAGAGAATGTGAGCAGGCACAGCACAGAGTACTGCTAGGTCCTGTTTATGAGACTCTGTGGCAGTTAAATGGCATGCATGGAGTCCCAGGGTAAGTATTTCTTATGTGAGTCTCAGCTAAACATGCTTAAGCCACTGCTCAGGAGAACATCTCACACACAGGCCCTGCAGACACCACAGGAGGGTGGCACAGCCCAGTCCTGAAAGCCGTGCTGGAGAGTCCCAAGGTCTCTGGCTGGGAGCCTGGGTGGGGGGCAGCCCAGTCAGGGCCTGGAGCAGGAGGAGAAGCCACCGGCCCCACAGCCAGCTCAGGGAGCCGGGAAATGCTGCCCATCCAAAGCTCCTCTACCTCGTCCCTGAAGGTCCGTTCCTCCAGGCAGGACCAGGCACTGGCCCACAATAAGAGCTCAATAAACACCAGCAGAAGGAAGGTGTCTCTTACTGCCCCGCCCCGCCCCTTCCTCCCCGTCCCTTCTGCTGCTGGGATCAAAGGTCTTTAAGGCTCCTCAGGCATCTTCCTTGCCCCATGGAGTGCCTGGTACTCACAGTGTTTACAACGGCTCACAGTGTTTACAACTTACAGACGGCTCCAGAAACAGAGGACTGCGTCGGGACCGCGGTCGGGGACTCCTGGGCCAGGCGAGGCAGGTCTGAGGGGCAGGGGCCCTTGGGAGAGCAGAGGACCCCGGGGTCGGCCGGGTTGGCTGCAGACAGCGCCCCCAGAGCTTGCTCTGAGCCTAAGCAACCTGCGGAAGGACACGAGCGGATGAGATGGGGCTGGCAAGGCTGAGGGGGGAATGGGGGCACGGGGCTCACCGGCGGGCCGCAGCAACAGCAACAGCAGCAGCAGCCACGAAAGGGCGCGGGCGTGGGAGGCGGCAGACGTCCGTGGGCCCTGCCCGCGGGCCCGCGCCCCGCACCAGGGCTCCATCCCGTGGTAGCAGCGAGTGCGCCTCTCCACCGCGCCCGGGTGCGTGCCCCCGACGGCGCCCCCCATTGGGCGCACGCCGCAGCCGCCGGTGCTGGCTGGTGAGGGCGCTCCAGGTGCCCGGCCTGCGCGGGCGCCCCCCAGGGGCCATCCTCCACGGCGCTCCAGGGTCCGCCCACGAGGGCGCCCCTAGCGACCGCCACCCTTTCTTCCGCCTCCCAAGCCCTAATCTGACCGGATGGTCCGGCTGACCCCCCTGTTTCGGGCAACGTTTGCCCTCCTTGGCCCCTCCTCCTCTACCTCGGCTGGGCCAAGCAGTTTCCTGGGGTCACTCGACCTAACTTGGGCCAGTTCCTAGACCTCCCCACCCCTCTGCCAGTTGCCCTGGACTAGTTCATGCTGTCACCCTCCATCTCACATAGTGAGATGAAGACCAACCCCTGGGACTCTCCAGGTGGCTCCCTCTTCCCTCCAGCCTGATAACGACAATGGGGCTTTGCCCCAGCACTGAAATTAAGCGGATTAATGTGTTTTAAATAATAATTTGTGAAGACTGCATCATTTTAAGCTACTATGTGCCCCCCCTCCCCCGCCATTCGGCATATGTCCTTGCTTCACCGATCCATCTGCATACTGCTTAGGGAAGATGGCACTGGCGAAGGGACCATCCACGGAGAAAGAGTGATGGTCACCACTAAGCCATCGTGGGAGCAGGAGGTCACTTTGCATGTTAGCATTTTGATGGTTCAATGCCACAGATAGTTAATACATTTAAAAAGTAGTGTGGCAGAGACACTCAAGCCGTCTATTCCAGTCTCTGAAAAGACAGCACCACTGCCTTCTGGGGCCCCAGGCAGGGTGGCTGGCTGCTCTGAACCTGAGGCGTCCTGAGTCTGAGGGGTCCCCTCACTACCTCACACAGGGGCAGGGCTCTGTTCTCAGTCTGGCTGGCTTGGGCCATCGTTCTTTGCTCTCTGGAGACTGAAGGAGGTCTCCGACAACATCTCAGGAGCTCAGGGTACAGTCACCTCACACATTCACCATCCAAGCAGGCACGCTGCCCTGTCCCCACACCACCCACCTGTGCCAGGGAGGGAGGAGGAGCTGGTCAGATTCTGCAGACCCTTTGGGGAGGACAGGAGAGGCTGGGAGAGGCCCCGGGGGTTCTGAAACATGGTCCACAGCGTGGGTCTGTGATCTGACCATCGTGAATTTCTCAGGAAAAAGCCAACCCTGGCAGGAAGGCCTGAGGGACGTATGTGTTCCTTGGATACCCAGGGCAGGGCTGTGGGGCCCTGTGGGACTGCTGGAGTGCTGGGATACCTAAGCAGGCACTGCACCCCCACATTTGGCAGAAACTCAGAAAGGGGAACACTCTCCCCAGGTCACACAACAAGCACAAGACACACATGGGGTCAGACTATTAGGGAAGCCTCAGTTTGAGAGGCCAGCCAGGACGACGGGGTGAGGGACGTTCTGCAGGGCTCCAGCCAAAGTCAAGAAGAAAGATGATGACATTAGTGTCTCAAAGTTCAAGAGAATCTTCATTGAACTGAAAACACAGTGGCTCTGGGACACTCCCCCAAGGTCAGTCTGCTCTGCCATCCTGTGCACCTTCTGGCCTCTACTTCTCCTGAGGGCAGAGCAGAGAGGAGGGAAGCAGCCTCCGGGAGGGCCCATGCTGAAAACACAGCTCACAAGAGCCACAGGGAGCCCAAGGAGACCAGCAGGATGTAGCCGGTGAGGAAGACGGGGCTCAGGAAGGCAGGGCCGGCCCTGCTGAGGAACCTCATGTCAGCAACCTGAGTCCGGATCCAGTTGGTGAAGTAGGAGGTGCTGGTGTAGATGCCTGGGTACTGGCGCCGGCCGCAGCTAAAGCTCCAGCTCACCACTCCCATCTGAATCCAAGTCTTGTTCACTTGGCAGACAAGGGAGCTGCCAGAGTTGGCCTGCAAAGGAGAGGAAGGGAGGGGATATATAGCTTAAGTATGGCAGCAGGAGGGCCTCCTCAGCCTGAGCCGTATGAGGCCTGTGCTGTCCCCGAGGACGAGCTCAGTGACGCATGACTCTGCACTGGGGACCATGCTGGCCTCTCTCTTCATTCTCTTGCTAACTACTCTCTGACTGTAATTCCCCAGTCCCCTCCTCTATCTTCCCCTCAAATCTTGGTGGGCCTCCAAGTTGTTGCCCTTGGCCACCTTCTTTCCTACAACCCTGCTTGCAGAGTGAGCTGTTTGAAATGTAAACCAGCCACCCTCTTTGTGCAGACATGGGTGCACATGTAAGAATAATGTTTACAATGACATATCAAAAGCCATAGCTGTTATTTCTGGTGATGGTGGGTTTCTTATGATTTTTAAAAACTTTCTTTATACTCTTTTGTAATGTTAGAAAATTTTATGTCAGAAAAATAACTCATTTATTTTTTAAACATAACGCAAACCAAGATTTGCAGGACATAATCTAATAAAGAGTACATAAGACCCTTAAAGAAAAAAATTAATAAAACTGTGCCTGAGAACATAAAAGAAGACCTATATTAATGTACAGACATACCATTTTTCATAGGTGAGACAACTTAAAATAATGTAAAAACGTCAATTCTCAGGTTCTTGCAGTATGGAAGACAAGATACCTTAATCAACCTATTGCTAAATATAACTAAAAATGTGGGATTTAAAAAAAATTATTTTTAATGCATAAGTGAGCTGGCAAGAAGAACTCTTAAAAAAAACAAGCAGAGAAAAAGAGTTGGAGGAGATACGAGGCCGTTTGTGGCCAGGAGATTACCCCATTGCCAGCCTGCTGACCTAGAAGCAGGAGAGAGATTCACATCAAATAGATTCTTAAATTGAAACTTTTAATGGGATGTGGTGTTTAATAACCAAAAGTGATTGAAAATTATGAACTCTGCCCAAAATGATGTTTGGGTGAGGAAGGAAGATTTGACATAGGGTATATGAGGGCAATTATTTGAAAGAATAAAACCATTTAATGTGAATACCTTAACCAATTAAGACTCCTCAATAAACAATTCTAGGAGGGGATGTGGAGCACAATGTAATTTATACAAATTGCAATACACACATAGCAACACTGTATTTTTCAACGACACAGACATCTTTAAGAACACCTATTAGAAAGATTTGAGTAGGTGTCTTTCGGGGGTCGGGGGAATGGAAGATGAAGCTAGTGATAACTAAGCTGATGATGATAGTGTGAGGGCCCTTGCTTGAAGATACAATGGATTGGACTCGACAGTCCCAGAGAAACAGAGAAGAGAGAAAGAGAAAAAGGGATGAGGGGTGAACAGAGAGAGAGAGAGAGAGAGATCCATTGTATGTAGACATTATCTTACCACAGCAAAATAAAACCAGAATTCAATAACAAAATGTGAACCACTCCATCAATGGAAAAAAATTAACTTTCAAAAATGTTAAAGTAAAAACAATTAAAATCTACAATTATAATAGAGAATGATAAGAATATCACATATTGCATGGGATGTGGGCACACAGCAGAGTCCTAGTCTAAAATACTTTTAATATCAAATAAGAGAGAATGAAAATAAATTATTCATTATTATCATCAATTGTTTACCAGTACACATTCAGCTCAAAATGCTTGAAATTAATAAAGACAAAAAGGGGATAATTAATGCATTAGAAAGGAGAAAAATCATAGACTTGAGAAATGAAATCAATAGCTTGTTCTTAAACAACAACAACAACAAAATACATAAATACCTTGTAAGTCTTACCAAGAAAAACAGCAAGAGAAGGAAAATGAAAACACTTATTGTTTGAGTAGAAAAAAAATTAGTACCACATTCAGGGAAAAAATACTTTCTTAGAATCTCAAGCCTGTTTACAACTTTCTCTTTATTGATTTAAATTCTGCATGAAATGAATAATTCCTAAGAAAATGCAAATCATTTAAACTAATTTAAAGTTTGACAGAAAGCCTGACAAGTCCAATCACTATGGGCAAAACAACTTAAAATACTGCCCAATAACAACCACTCACAGGAGAACAGGTCTACATGGTTTCACAGGCAACCTCTGATGTTCAAGGAGGAGATAATTTGTTATTTCTTTTTTTTTTTTTTTTTTTTTGAGACAGAGTCTCACTTTGTTGCCCAGGCTAGAGTGCCGTGGCATCAGCCTAGCTCGCAGCAACCTCAAACTCCTGGGCTCAAGCAATCCTTCTGCCTCAGCCTCCCGAGTAGCTGGGACTACAGGCATGCGCCACCATGCCTGGCTCATTTTTTCTATATATAATAGTTGGCCAATTAAGAGACAGGGTCTCGCTCTTGCTCAGGCTGGTTTTGAACTCCTGACCTCGAGCAATCCGCCCACCTCGGCCTCCCAGAGTGCTAGGATTACAGGTGTGAGCCACCATCCCCGGCCTATAATTTGTTATTTCAAATGTTCCAGAACATGGACAAATATTTTTCAGGTGAAACATAGTCCTGATGCTATAATTCGACAAAGGAGGTGCCTTCCTCAATTCATCCTAAAGTGGAGCCCAGCCTCAATGGAGGGCAAAAAAAAAGGCACGGATTGTGCCACATGAGACTATTTGTTCCCCAAGGCCAATATCTTTCCGGGGGCCCAGTGTTATCCTGTGCCTGGCCCAGAGCCCGGCACACAATGTCTATTGGATGAATAAATAAATTAAAACATGTTCTAAAAAAAGATATCATGAATCTGAATACAACAGATGAATGAAATAAAAGTACACTGTGACCAGGGAGGAGTAATCCTGGAATGCAGGGTGCATGCTGTTCAGAGAACTAATTCAGCACACGGAGTTAGAGCATGGAGTCATCTTGATAGCTGCATAAAAAACATTTATAAAGCAGAACATTCATTCCTGAAATACAATGCCATTGCAAAACAGAAGGGAATGTCTCTCCTCAGCAGATTGTATGCCAAATTAGCACCCTGAAATGCTTCACGATGAAGAGTGAGAAGCACTTCCATTGAGATCAGCAACGGGAGACAGCACAGCTATGATTCCTGGCTTTTTTGAGAAGTACCTAAAACAATGAAAAAAGCAAAAATAGAAATGAAAGAGGTGAAATCATTACTAATTGCAGTTCACATGAGTGTAGGCCTGGAAAACCTGAGAATCAACTGAAAACTTCTAGATATAATAAGAGTTCAGTAAGCTGAACTCCCAGGCGCTTTCAACAAAAGGATAAGTCAAGGGGATGGAAATGAAGAAAGTTAAATTATAAGAAGTCCTGGCCCTGCTATGGAGGCTGTAGACATTGATTACCTCTATGTGATAATTCTATTTTAAATATGTATGTGGAAAATATAAGGTGACCAGTAGCAGAATGAAATTTACATATTTAACTTCTAAACCACTAAAGGAGAAAAGTAGAGTAAAGAAAAAAAAATCAAACTAAAACATAAAGTGGGGGAATAAAAGAAACCTTCTTGGTAAATGCATTAAAGGACAGTCTCTCAGATGTGTTGAGAAAAAAATAGCTTACAGCTTTATGCTGTTTACAAGAGATACAACCAAAACTAAATGACATAATGTCTCCTGGAAGACAGTGGTTTTTCTGCAATACAGTTCTGGACATCTGCAATTAGACAAGGAAAATAAATAGGCATACACATTGAAAAGGAGGCAAATTTATCATTTGCAGAATGATATGTCTCTGGTCCTACGAAATTAACGAAAATCAGCTAGATCCAGAAAGGTTGCTTATTACAAAGTGAATATGCAGAAATCTATAATATAAACAGAAAATATAATGAAAGAAAATATACTGTTCACAATAAGAACATAATATATAACATCAAGGAATAGACTTTAAGAAACAGCATGCAGTAACCACATCGCAGAAGCTACAACCTCCTGCTCTATGAACATAAAGAAATAGAGCAGAATAGGGCCGGGCGCTGTGGCTCACGCCTGTAATCCTAGCTCTTGGGAGGCCGAGGCGGGCGGATTGCTCAAGGTCAGGAGTTCGAAACCAGCCTGAGCAAGAGCGAGACCCCGTCTCTACTATAAATAGAAAGAAATTAATTGGCCAACTGATATATATATAAAAAATTAGCCGGGCATGGTGGCTCATGCCTGTAGTCCCAGCTACCCGGGAGGCTGAGGCAGAAGGATCACTCGAGCCCAGGAGTTTGAGGTTGCTGTGAGCTAGGCTGACGCCACGGCACTCACTCTAGCCTGGGCAACAAAGCGAGACTCTGTCTCAAAAAAAAAAAAAAAAAAAAAAAAAAAAAAAAAAAAAAAAAAAAAAAAAAAAAGAAATAGAGCAGAATAAAAGAGTCAGTTTTCTCTAAATCTATTAATTTCCACCAAAATTCCCATGTGGATTTCTTTTTGACAACATTTTTGTAAGACTGTTCATTTAGAATGAGCGTGGGAGAACAGCCAGGTAAAAGAAGAAGAATGAAGGAGGACTTGCCTTCTTTTTTCCCCCACATACAAAAAAGAATTATAAAGCTGCAATAATTTAAAAAGAGAGGTGATGGCTTAGGGATGAGGCTGTAAATGACAGAAATACTCCAACGTAAGATGGGAATTTATAATAAAAGGGGCATTTATAATAAAAAGGGCATTTCTAATTCATAGCCACAAATATATAAGTATTCAACAAAAGATTTTTACATAATGTGCTACCTATCTGGAGAAAAATAAAGCTGCATTCCCTCTCTTGACCTTCTAGATGAATCAAAATTAAAAAGCCTAAAGAAAATCACTAGAACATGATGAATAAGTAATTTTTTAATCTTAGGGTGGGAAAGGTATTTCCAAGAACAGCCAAAAATCCTAAAAATCATCAAGGGAAATAATGATAAATGTGAGCACATAAAAATTTTACATAAATCTATGAGGAAAAATCCACACCAAATAAAGGTGAATGATGGACAAAGAAAGATAAATGATGGACAAATTGTAAAGCATTTTACAAAGTGTTAACACTTCCAGTACTCAACATTTTGGAGTAACTTCATTTTGAAATAATTTGAAACTTACAGAAAAGTTGCCAGTATAATATTTTTACCCAGATTCATTAACTGTTAATGTTGTTTTACCATATATATTTTTTAAGACACAGGGTCTCACTCGTTGCCTAGGCTGGAGTGCAGTGGCACAATCATAGCTCACTGCAGCCTTGAACTCCTGGGCTCAAGCAACCTTTCTACCTCAGCCTCCCAACAGCTAGGACTACAGGCATGAGCCACTGCGCCTGGCTCCTATATTATTTTGTAGTCACACAACTCTCTTTGAATTCTGATACTTAATGTATTTTTATATCTTTGTTGAAACTTCCTATTTAATATCCTGTTACATGAGTAATTTACAGAATTTCTTGATTTCATGACATTAAAACAAAAATACGAACGTTATAGTCTACCAAAACCACAGAAGTTAATAGCTAATGCCTAATGTTGGTGATGATGCAGGCAAAGGGCATTCATATACTGTTGGTGTTAATATAAATGGATTAAATCTTTGGGGAGGCTAATTTGTCAGCATCTATTAAAATCCAAAATGTATATACAATTGATTTTGTAATTATACTTCTAAAAATTTATTCTAGAAAAATGCTTGAACAAATGTGAAAAGATAAATGAACAATTCTATATAGTAAAAAAAAATACTGAAATGAGGTCAAATGTCTGTCACTAGGAGAATGGTTAAATTATTGTTGACACAGCCATATGAGAGAAGTATTATTCAGCAGTTAAGGAAAATGAATCATATTTATATGTATAGAGATATGAGTCCAAGATATATTGTAATTAAAAAAATGTTAAAGTTGGAGAATAAAATTATACAACAGTCTTTTGTTAAAAATCAAAACCAGAAAAAAAAAACCCTAAGACTTATTTAGGGTTTTATATGTATAGAAAGAAGTGTTAGGGATATAAACTAAACAATCTAGAGTGGAAATTTCTAAGTAGTTCGATTATAGGGAGGTCTCATTTTCTAATATTTGCAACTTATATATTCCTTTCTTTTTTACAAAATGTGTGCATTTCCTTCCAAAATGAGAAAACATAATATTTTTAAATAAAGTAGTGACAATGGAGATGAATTCATCATTAAGAGATGAATTCAAAGTTTCAATCAAAGGTGATTACACAACCTTAAATGCTTTAAGCACAAAACAAGAAAGAGTAAACCTTTCTGCTCAAGAAGACATTTAAAAAAAAGCCAAATCAAGCCCAAGTGAGAGCAGACATATTAGTACAGACAGAAAATTATGAAATAAACATTAAATAATTTGTTGACACTGCACTCTAACCTGGGTGACAGAGCAAGATCCTGTCTTAAAACAAACAACAAAAAAAACCACATACCAGGCCACCAAACAAGTCTCAACATATCCATATAATTGGTATCATTGTAGAACTCACTTTATGACTACAAGGAAACTGAGTTGTTTCCTTGTTTTATCAATAACAACAATAAAAATTTGCATAGGTCAAAAATGAAATAAAAATGAAATTATATAAAATATTTAGAACTGGATGACAACAAAAATGCTACATATCAAAATTTGTGGCATAAAGCTAATGCAATATTTAGAGGGAAATTTGTAGCCTCAAATACTTGTATTAGAAAGAAAGATCAAAAACAAATTAGCTAAGCATCCCACTCAAGAATTTAGCCCCTGCGTATATAGAACCTTGATATGTGAAAGAGATGGTGACTGTCAGTGCAGGAAATGACTTTTACAAAGAATGGCACTGGGACAATTGGTAGTCCACTTGAGAAAATAAATAAAAATACGTTACTATCTTATAGCATTCACAAAATGAATGCCATAGGGATTCAAAAATGTGAAAATTCAAAATTTCTAAACTTTCAGGAAAAAAATATAAGAGAATATCTTTATGACCTTGGGAGAAGGAAGGATTTCTTAAATAAGACATAAGCATAAACCAGAAAGGAAAACATGAAATATTTGACTAAAATAAAATCTAAACTGCTGTTCAGCAAAGGAAAATATAAACAAAATGAAAAGATAAATTGAAACCTGGAAGAAGATATCTGCAATATCCACAATGAACACAGAATTCGTATACAGAATACTTAAAAATAATAAAAAGAACGAGGCAAACTCTAGAAAATTGTGCAAAGCATCTGAATAAATGATTCATAGAAGAGAAATCACAAATAGTGAATAAACATATGAAAAGATGGACAACTGCACTAGTAACTGAGGACAACCACCACGGGTTACTATTTCTCATTCATCAGAATGGAAAACATTTTATCGTCTAATACCAAAAGCTGGCAAGGCTATGGAGCAATGACACTCTCACATAGAGCTGTCAGAATATAGAATAACACAATCACTTTGGGAAACAGTTTAGTCATTACTATTAAAGACGAAGGTAAATGTAGCCTACGACCCACCAGTTCCATGCAGGGTGCATCCTGTTGAGAAATTCTGGAATAGGTAAATAAGGAGATACATGTGAGAATATTTAGAGCAGCAGAGTCTGTGATATGAAAAAAATTGGAAACGCCCTCAATGTTTATAAACAAGAGAATGGATATATCATGGCACATTCACAAAAGAGAATATTATAGAGCTATTAATTAATGAATGAAAGCTGCATTTATCAATAGGGATAAATCTCAAAAACAGTGTTGAATAGAAGATGCAAGAGGCAGAAGCATGCTTGCAGAACAAATGCCATTTATGCAAAACTGGTTCTGCTAGCACCTGGCCCAGATGCTGGCATGTGGCTGACATTCAGAAGTGTTAAATGACCTGAGAAGTACTACCATTATTGCCATTGTGGTGGACAGGGACAAAGAATATTTCGCCCCTATTTTACGGACTGGGCAACTGAAGCTAAGGGGAAGGAGATTTTTGTAAGGTCTCCCAGTACCATGTGAAAAGGAAACCATGACCCCTGGAAGCCCCCTCCTTGCCCCCAGACCACATGCTCCACACCTGACAAGTATCCAAGCCCCATTCTGAGGTGGCGCACAGCACATCTTTCCCAAGAAAATTTGGGGTCGTGGAGAAGAGGAATCGGTACCGTTTACTGCAGATGTCATTGTTTACAATCTTGACGGCCACTTCCCGAAGACTGGAGGGGGACTTTGAGGTCACTGAAGAGAGAGAGAGCCTGCCTCAGCACCCCGCGGCTATTCAGCATATCTCCACATCAGAGCTGTCCACATTCGCTGATGTGGGAGGGAGGGCCACCTCCTGGGATAGTGATTATCCAGCCCACAGCCTGACTTTCCAAAAATCTCCAGCGCATTAAAAAGACTAAGCGAAAGTCTTTCAAGGGGCTTGGAGCAATATGCAGGCTCCAGATGAGGACAAGGAGAGATTTCCCCAATAATTCAGGTTCTATGAGAGTGAGGAGATGAGCGCTGCTCCGCGGCCACCAAAAAGGTGGCAAAACCATAGAGTCCAGATTTGTGGCACCCCCTGGAAAGCATGACCCCAAAAAGGCTCCCAGGTTCTAGGACCCCGGGAATTAGGGGTGGCTCAAGGTAACCAGTGAGCGTGATGACTAGAGAGGCCTCCTCAATGCCTCAGTGTCTCCTGAGTTCATGGCCCTCATGCCACCTGCAGATGGGGAATCCTGTTAATAGCCAAGGACTAATTTCCTGCCATGCTGCAAGGGAAGGGCTTGGCACTGGATTTAACTTAGCTTTGGAAACTGAGGTCCATGCAGGCCATGTGTGTCTATACACTATAGTACTATGTATATCTTTGTATCAAGAGGTCGCGATAGTGCATGGCACATGTAGGTGCTCAGGAAACGTTTGCTGACCGAGTGAATGAGTGAATAAAGGAGTGAGCAGAGGAGACTGTGATGGGGCTGTGTAATGAAGAGGCAGGTGTCTTGGAACCTCGGCCTGCCTTCACTCACCGTTTTTTCCTGTCATTCCCCACCCGATCACCCAGCACATGTTTCCAAAGTGTGGCTTGAATCTGTTGTTGGGGAGGCAGATGGGCTGGACCAGCGGGGACCACAAGACAGCATCCCGGAGCTTCAGGACGGCAATGTCCCGGGCAATGTTATTTTTGTAATCCTCATGAATCACGATGCGAGTGAGTGGGATCTGAGTGCCATTTTCCGAGAGGTGCTGGACTCCCACCATCACGGAGTACTGTGTGGGGTCCTTGGATCTGCAGGGTCACAGGTAGGAGGCAGATCGCCAGCAGTGAGGCCATGAGTGGTTACAGAGACAGGGCCCGAGCTCAGGGTCACCCAGCCAGGCCTTCTACTCCCAGATCCCCAATTAGGCCAGGGCCCCTCAGGCTGGGAAGCAATGGCCCTGGGCCGGGCTGGCCACCCGGACTGACCTCTCTAAGCAGTGCGCGGCTGTGAGGACCCACTGGCGATGGATGAGAGAGCCGCTGCAAATGTATGCGCCCAGGAACAGGATGCTCACCTGCCACGGCCACTTGCCTACCTCCACCATCTTCCCCTTCACCATCTTGCAGGATACGTTGGTGTTACCGCAGGCCAGGAACCAGGGCCCTGAGGAAAGAGGCTCTCAGGCAGCAAAGGGCTGCCCTGCCACCCTCGTACACAGCAGACTGTTGAGGTGCAGAGAGCCGCCTGCCAGCCTTGTCACAAGCAGCCACTGCCATGTGCACACGTGGGAAGGGGCTTTTTCCACTTCCTTGAAAATGCAACCAGAGACCCAGAGGCAGCAGGTGCCCCACATGATAAAGAGAGTCCCCAAACAATGAGGACCAGAGCCCTTCAGGGCTTGTTAACAGCCATCACCCAAAGACTCAGCCAGGCCAGCCATCGGCCATCGATTACACAAAGAGATGGCTGCAGGAGTGAAGAAGAGACTCATCAGCATGTGAGCTGTCAGCTGGGGGTAGGTAACAGAGCACAAGTGGGCAGGGCTGTCTGTCTGCTGTAGCCAAAAGAAATGGACAGAGATGTCGCGCTGTGCAACCCCAGGCCCACCTTGATACTGGCCGCAGCCCTGGGGCTGGGGATGCTGGGGTTGCTGGGGTTGCTGTGATCGCACAGGGAAGTGAGCAGAGATGCGTCTCATTCCCCAGCAGCAGGGCTGGGAGGAGAAGCGACTGTGCTGAACTGGATATGAGACTGAGATTTGAAATCAGACCAGCCTGGATTGGCACTGGTGTTTAATAATTAAACATCATAAAGGATAAAAAAGGGAGAAAGATTCTGCAGCAAGGATTGGAGACCAAGATGAAAGAAAAAATGAAAAGGTTTCTTCTTATTCCGCCTGCTATCAAGTTCGGGCTGGTCAGCAAACTGTTCCATGTGATCATGGACTTCCTCTTAAAAGCAAAGGTGGACATGAATTTACACCACCACAAGCTGTCATGGTTACAGAAAGCGCGTCCCTGGGCAGCATGACGTGCAGTGCCAAGCACAGTGTCAAGAACCAGCATCAGCAGCCCAGGCTAGTCCTGGCCCCCAGGTCTATGGCAAGTGGGGGTAGTGGAGGGGATACAGGAATCCACGGGCAAGACTAGACCTGCGGTGACCTGTGCATGGGAGCAGGCACATCCTCTGGCCCTGGCTCATAGAAACCTCTCCAAGTGTCACAGACCATCGACGTCTGGATTCATCAATCCTGTGTGTGCCAGGATGTAACTCGCTAGTCCCCTTGCCATAGACTTCCATGGCACCAGTGGCCTCCCACGGGGATCACAGTCACCCCCATTCTCCCTCACCTCCACAGAGTGCTGCCTTGCCCTGCGCCTCACCTCCCTCCAGTCCTCCTCCAAGGCCCTTTCCGTCGTCGCTGTCCTATTTTCTGTCTCCCCCAGGCGGAGCCACTCTCCCAGTCCCTCTCACTGTGGTGAGTATATGTCTGCTTTTCAGTTTCTGATGACAGCCTGCACCAGTCCAGACTGGCCCACACTGGGAGCAAGGAGAGGCTTCCAGAAGCTTGCCCTTTCCTTCCTCACAAGCTGAGGCCCCGCAGAGGCTATGGAAGAACTTCTTCACGTTAAAAAGTGACACCCCTGGGGACTGGGGTGGGCTTCACCTGGTGCTCCCTACTCTCAAGTGAGTGCCTCAGAACTCACATCCAGGACAACATCTACTCCAACCTCCTTTCCCGAAACCTTACGTGGGATTTGTAGGATTCGCCCTGGAGGTGCCAGCATCAAGAACAGCAGCCAAATCTAGGAGGAGCCATGATAGATTATTTGGGGTGCAAGGCATCACAGATCACCCTTGACCCAGGCACAGCACTCAGAGGTTCAGATGGGTTCCACTGCAGACCCCCTCCACCGCTTCTTGGAGTTCCAGAGTCAGAGCACTCCACTTACAAGCAGTACCCTGATGTCATTTCCCATACTCACACGTGGTCACAGGGAGACATCTATTGGCCCTGTGACCTCTGTCTTCATGAGGTCATGCCCCACACCCGTCCCACATCATCACAGGCACAGAAGTCCTCTGTGTGGAGCTGCACACATCCTCACCGCCCCAAACATCACAGATGCCTGAGGGCAGCACTGCACAGTTCAGAGTAGGAAACCACCCATTCACTAGTTCATTCATTCATTCACTCAGTCACTCATTCAATGAGGCACTAGTCCAGGAGGGGGAGTCACACAGTGATGGGGACCACATCTCCATTCACAGATGCCACCCCCACATGTTCTCTGCCAAGCAGCAGAACAGGCAACTGACAGGTGACCTGAGTCAATGCTGCTACCACAGAATCACCTGTGGTAGTCAGCTGGGGTGGGAGCCTGGGACCCTGTCACTTGGGGTCCCAAACTTTTCACCCCCAAAGAGTCTCTTGAAAACTGGTATTGAGTCCTGGCTCCATCACTCACAAGCCACTCGTAAACCCTGGGCTTGCTACTGTGAAATGGGGTCACTGGTGAAGCTCCCCTCACAGAGGGTTCAGATGTGACACTGTCTCGACAGGCCCTGATACAGAATGGACATTCACATAGCACTTCGTCATCATCACAAGACTGGTTCTCCTATCACTGTGCCTCCCAAACAAGCTCATTTGTTACACGGATGTCACTTTGTTCCCCCATTTTTAATAAGGCTCTTCCCTCACGTGTTCATGGTCACCCTGGAAATTGGAACTGCCCCAACACGGTATGGGTCCCCAGTCTGCAGAGGGTGTACCCATCAGGATCTGGACAAATGGAGGCCCTCAGGCATGAGGACAGCTGACACAGGCACCCAGGCAAACAGTCCCCCTCTGGCCTCTGCCCCATGCCCCTGAAGCCCTACCTTCAACATATGGCTGATTCACTAATCTGGCAGAAGGAACTGGAGATGTAAGAAGATCCCCTGACCCGCACGCCATGGCAAGCAGATGTCCAGTCCTCACAGCTCCTGGTAACCTAAGGCGGAGAGGGGGAGGGGCGTCTCCACTGCTTGCGGATTCTAGAACTCGTGGTTTGTTTATTCAGGACAGCAGGGAGTGGGCCTCTGCCCCAGAGCTGGGGACTTACCTGGCTGCGGCAGCAGCAAGACTCTAAGGAGGAGGCAGTGTGGCCGTGGCAACACCTTGCCAGGGCCTCCTTGATGCTGCTGTCAAGAACCTCTCTGGAGCAGGGGTCCCGGTGCCTGGCCTGAGGCAGTGGCTTCTGGGCCCAGCTCTTAGCACTGCACCCAGTGCCCAGCCTTGACCTTGATGGTGCCCCTGTGCCTAGTTCTGAGCCTGTGACAGCACCACATGTCCAGCTGTGACAGTGCCTGGTGCCCAGCCCGGGCTCCTTTGTGAAGCCCCTCTGACGGCCTCCTTGGAGGTGTGGCAAACAAGGCACCACGAGGGGCTGGCAAGTTCCTGCAGTGTGTAGCTGAGGTGAATTGGAATTTTCCTTTTTCCCTCAGGGTGTATATTTTCAAAAGGACAGCTCCTGGGTGGAGGGAGTCCAGGCGCGTTTGGCCTGGGAAGGTGGCTTCCTGAGCGGAAGCAGCTTGTAGGCTTAGGTCTTCATGAATCAGCACAACAAATGACATCTTGGGACACCTCCCCACCACTCCACTGAGGATCCCCCCTCCAAAAGAGCCCAGGCTTTTCACACTGTCATGACGACAGATCACTGCCGATCCAGCCCGTCGTCAGTGCCGTGAAGGACGCGGGCGATGAGGCGGTGCACACACCGCCGGGGAGATGAGCGGCAGGGCCGCTGTGGAAAACCGCGGGGAAGCAGTAGCAGAGCAGAGAGCGCGCCTACCCCGCGAGCCAGCCGAGCGAGCGCCGCTCCTGCAGGTACGCGCCCCCAGAAGCGGCATGCGCGGCAGGAGGCGAGCACACGGCTGTTCGCGCACTGTCGGGAAGAGCCTGGTTGGAAGCTACCCAACTGCCACCCACGGCGGGACAGACGCACAGAACCCTCCACAGCCGTGAGAATGGACGGTCTACGGCTCACACAGCCGAGTGGTGACGCTCAGGAACCTATCATGAGTGAAAGAAGTCAGATACAAAAGCGTACAGACTGTATGAAATTCAAAAACAAGCAAAACAAATTAATTTTAGGGATATTGTAGAAAATCAAGGAAATTATTAATATTATCCCTATAATCAGATTCCCTAAGAAAGGGGGAGAGAGAACCTGGACAGGAGAAACCCTATCTACTCTTCTGCCTTTGTGGAAAATAATACTTTGGAGGGAAACAATCAATCAATCAATAAAACAAAATAAGACAACTGAGTAAAGATCAAGCATATCTGTGATCACAACCAGTGTGAATGCACAAACTCTATTAAATACTTCTAAAAGATCAAGATTCTTACATTAGGTAAAAAAACCACAAAAAAACCACTCAGATGATACTTATTAGAGACACACCTAAAATAAAGTGAAATAAAGAAGGTAAGAGGATAAAGATGGGCAAAAACATATTCAGTATATGCAAGGAAAAGTAGAAACAGCAATGTTCATCTCTGAAAATGATTCAAGACAAATGACTTAAACAAAAAAAAGTTATGTTTTTGAACATAACTTAAACAGAAAAAAAAGTTATGTCTTTATGCTGAAAAAAGACAAACTGCAATGATATATAACATCATAAAATTCTGTCCATCAGTAAAATAACATCAAACATATCAAGCAAAGTCCATCGGTGATACATAAGAAATCGAAAAACCTCACTTGTTGTGGCAGAGTCTCCTACAACTCACTCTGACTGTGAGGGATGGAATATCTATAAAAATCAACCGCATATTAGACTACTCAGAAAGCCACAATAACTTCCTTAAATGCTGAACTAGTGTGGGCCACATTTTTTTATCATGATGCAATTAAACAAGGCTTTTAAACAAAATATGCCAAATCATTTGAAAATTTAAAAAATAAACCTTACCAAATTAATTTGAGGAAATAAATACACTCTATAAATTATTTAGAAAATACTAATAATTAGAGCAAAGCATTTTTTGAACTTCTTAGGCATGTCCAAGGCAAATTCATAACCTTAAAGGCATTTATTATTGAATAACAAAAATGAAAATAAATGAATTATATACTCAAATAAGAAGCCATAAAAGGTATAAAAATAAACAAGAGGAAAACCTGTAGGTAACAAGTACAAAATACAGAATTATACCTTAATCAGTTATAAGAACAGCCAGAATGAAGCATGAACCCTGTAATGGATCTTAAAAAAAAAAAAAAAAGTAGTATTAAATAGGACAAAAAGGTGTATTTTATATTGACAGGGTGGAACCCACTAACATGGAAGAGCAGGCATGAACATTGTACTCCCTAATAACACAGCTTTGAAACATATAAAGCAAAATTGTTAAAACTGTAAGAAGTAGCCAAATAATTTTTGTGGCAAACCTCTAAGAAATCAACAGATTATATAGCCATAAAATATTTGAGGTGTTGAAAGGATTTGAATAACACAATCAACAAGCTTGATCCAAACAGTTGTAGCTCAAATTTTGTTCTGAAACACACTTTTGAACGTACATCAAACATTCACGAAGACTGACAAAATACGAGGCCACAAATAAAACCTCAATAAATTCCAAAATACAGAAATAATTAAATCCATATACAGTCATGTATCGCTTGGCAATGGGGATACATTCTGAGAAATGTGCTGTAGGGTAATTTCATCATTGTGCAAACATCATAGACTTACACAAACCTAGATGGTATAAATATTTTTATTTATATGTATTTTTTCATATAGAAAACCAAATGTCCCAGTACCATTACTCAATATCAATCATTTCCCCTATTTGATCTGCATTGTTAATATCAAGTGCCACATATCCGGTTTCTATATATGCTTCATTATAATCCTATGAGACCACTGTTGTATATGCAGTCTGTTGTTGACTGAAACATTATTATGTAGCACATGACTGTAATGATAATAGAGAAAAAAAGGAGAATCCCCATTTCTCCCCAAAACTGTCCATCGGGAAATTAAATAACATCCTTCTATATAACTCTTGGGTGTAATAGGAAATATAGTGTGACATTATAAATAACAAAGAAATGAATGACCATGAAGCCAGTATATATAAAATATGGCCAAAGGAAAATTTGGCCAGAGGAAAATTTATGGAATTAAGTGAAGATATTTGAAACCAAAGAAGTCTAAAATAATGAACTAAGCATACTAATCAAGAAGTTAGGAAAAAAAAATAAAATAAATCCCTAAAAGTAGAAGGTTGAAGTTATTAAAACTAAAAGAACTTTAATGAAATAAACAAACAGAAGCAGATTTGATCACTAAAACCAAAAGTTAGTTTGTACCATTTAGGAGTTCCCAAGTAACAGAAATTTCCACTCAGGTTTATAATTTCCATCTCTTCTCTCTGCCTTCAGTAGTGGCAGCTTCTGCCTCAGTTGGTCCCCTTATTGAAGAATGGCTGCCAATAGCCAATCTCCTCCTGCTTCTTCATCTACATTCGGAAAGACAGTGTGCATGTCTTCTCTCTAACCACCCCTTATCTGATTGGGACAGCCCAGGTCAGCACCTCCCCGGGGGCAGGTGGCTGGGGTACTAGAACATGACTAGATCAAGCTGGGAGCTGGAAGAGTGACAGCATCCCCAAGGAGGACATGAGCAGCCTGGCAGAGGTGTGGGCCCCTGACCAGGAAAGGGGGTAATACAAAGGAAGCAGGAGGAAGGCTACCATAGAGCTAACCACATGGCTTTTTGAACATACCTATGAAGTAGATGGAATTTTGGAAGTTGTAATCTGTAATAATTAAGAAAAAGGGAGACTACATACATGAACAATATTAGAAATAGGAAAGAGAACAGACTGAAATTTTATACATCAATTTGAAATTTGTAAATCTAGGGTAAATTAAGTGATTTCCTAGGAAACCGTACTAGAATTAATTCAAAAAGAGGCGAAATATGTGACTAGGCCAGTAATTTATAGAGAAATTTTTCAAGTAGTCAAAGATTTCTCCCCTAAAAAATGCATCAGGCTCAGTGAGTTTTATGTGCACAATCTACCAAACCTAAGGAACAGACAATGCTGGTGTTTTATAAACTGCTCTAGGGCATAGGAAAATACTAGAAAGCTGTTCAACATGTCTTTAAGAGGTTAGCATAGCAATGACACCAAACTTGAACAAAGGATAGAACAACAACAGAAAAAAACTATAGGCTAATTCCAACAGTGGAGCAAAAAGTCTAAGCAAAATGTCAGCAAATCTACAGTGTATTATAGGACTTACCTAGGAATACTATTAATCTAGTAATGTAATTCAGTATGTAAATAAATAAGAAAATCCACAGAATCATTTGAATAGGTCACTTCTGCATCACCAGGGCCCACAACAGTCCCTGGCACAGAGAAGACTCTGAATAAACACGTGGAATGGATGAAAGAATGAAGTCAGAATTAGCACATGTACTCCCACCGTTACTGCTACTATTTCATGCTGTGCAGGATGGCGGTCTCGGGCAATGAGGTCAGAAAAAGAAATAATAAGATGAAGCTGTTACCATTTTAAGTCATTTGATTATGCAAAAATAAGCCAAGGGAATCATCTGAAAAATCACTGAATCAATAAGACAGTTTTGCAAGACAGCCAGGAATCAAGATCACAATTTTTTAAAAATCCATCAATAGCTGTACAATACCTAACATATAGAATTAGAAAAAAATGTAATGAGAAAAGATATTATTCACAACATGAACAAAATTTATAAAATACTTAGAAATAAACACAATATTTTCCTAGACATCTATGAAAACACCTGGGAAGCTACTGAAAAGACACAGAAGACGAGGTGAATGAATGGAGACATCCCTGGTTCGGAATTCAACATTGTAGAAGTGACAGTTCTCCCCAAATTAATCAATGTATTTAATTCCAATTCAAATACCAATAGTGTTTTTAATCAAATTTGACAAACTAATTCTAAAGTTTACATAGAAGACAATAGGCAATAATTTTTTTAAAGGAAGAGGAGAGCTTTTGCTACCATTTAACAAAGTATAACAAAGCTGATTGAAACATTACAGCACTAACCCAGGGACCAGAAAAACAGATGAGTGGGAAAATAATACAGGGTTGAAACACACACCCATGCATATACTGGGATTTCACTATTATAAATGGGGAAATTCAAATCAGCAGGAAGAGAGAGATGGACCTACAAGAAATGGTGTCAATGAAAGTGGCTCTCCAGTTAGAAATAGAGCCATACCTCACACCACACATAAAAAGAAATTTCAAGTGAATTAGAGTTAATCAAACAATGTAAATTAAAAAAAAAATAAGCAGAAAAAACAGCTTTTATAATCTGGAGATGGAGAAGGCCATCCTAAGAGAGGCACAAAACCCGAAAATAAAGACTGACTGATATGACTCCATGATAATTTTAAAAGGCTTTATGGTAAAATTACCCATATTTCTAAAAGACAAGTGGCCTACTGAAGAAAATATTTGCAAAATAATTGAAAAAAAGCTAAGTATTCAGAAAAGATAAAGACCTTCAATAGAAAAAGATAAGGAATCCAATAGAAAAATAGGCAAAGTATACGAACAGAGGACTTACTAAAGCAAAAGTATGCTTTTTTTCAATAAACACATGAAAAAACATTTTTCCAATAAATAAAATACAAATTAAGACAGCCATGGTATAATTTTCTGCCATTAATGGGCAAAAATTGGCCCGGCGTGGTGGCTCACGCCTATAATCCTAGCACTCTGGGAGGCCGAGGCGGGTGGATTGCTGAGGTCAGGAGTTCAAAACCAGCCTGACCGAGACCCCATCTCTACTAAAAATAGAAGAAATTAATTGACCACTAAAAATATATATACAAAAATTAGCCGGCATGGTGGCACATGCCTGTAGTCCCAGCTACTTGGGAGGCTGAGGCAGCAGGATTGCTTGAGCCCAGGAGTTTGAGGTTGCTGTGAGCTAGGCTGACGCCACAGCACTCACTCTAGCCAGGGCAACAAAGCGAGACTCTGTCTCAAGAAAAAAAAGAAAAAAAAAACGGGCAAAAATTGAAAAGATCAATAACATCTATTTTTAGCAAAGAGGAAAAACGTTGATTCTCGTATACTGCAGGTGTGAATGTAAACTGGTTCAGCTTTGGAGGTCAGGGGGTGAATTTGATAGTATTCATCCAAAATTATTAAATTTGCATTTCCTTTGACCATCTTCCCCTCAGTCTCTCTCCTGGGAAGCCAGCAGTGGACATGCCACCACACGTGCTCCCCACACGTGCGGGAGTGTGTTCATGGCAGCACCATGGCAATGCTCACAAGTCACAAACAACCTAAAAACTGGTGATGGCCAATTCACATGTTCATCTACATGGAACACATGCAGTACTGTAAAGCTGTGCTCTGGGTACTGACACGGAAAGATCTTCAGGTCATGTGCTTTCTTAAGGCATCAGTTATTAACACATATATGAGACCCGTTTGTTTTAAAAATCATAAAGCTGTTGTTTAAGGATGTTCATAATGATTACTTCTGGGGATGGGAGCAGGACCGGCAGTGGGATTAGATGAAAGAAGGGGAATGTATATACATATATCTGAATTTTGTTAGTAAATCACAAGAATGTATTTAGATATTACACATGATCCTTTTTTTAAGAGAAAAAAAATGTAGAAAGAAATAGACCAAAATGAGAATAGTGGATATCTCCATGTGGTGGGACTCCAGAGGATGTTTTCTTTCTTTTGGCTTGACTGTTTCCTAATTTTCTACAACAAATATGCAATACTTTTATAATCAGGATTTAAAAAAAAAAGAAAAGGAAGGAGAAGAAGGGAGGAGGAGCATGAAGGAGGAGGAAGGAGGAGAAAGGAGGAGGGAGGAGGCAGAAGGAGGTGGAAGAGGAAGAAGAAGAAGGAGGAGGAAGAGGAGAAGAAGAAGAAAGAAGAAAGCTAATTTTGGAGTCCCATCTGTGGGTCATTCCTACTGTCAGCCTACAAGCCTTCGGGATATGTTTCAACTGCTCCCTTATAGCATGCCCACTTTACAGATGAGAAAACTGAGGCCACAGGACCTGGCCCTCTACCTATGCCCCAGCTCTAATGATATAGCGAAAACAATCAGCATGCACTCTGGGGAGGCTCCTGGAAGACCTAATTCCAGGGAGCCCTGCCCTCCCACCCATCCCCACGCCCCAGGGCTACCCCAGAGAACAGAAAAGAGAAAAGAGCCAACTCAGGTTTGCACAAGTTTAATCCCTGCTATGTGGTCCCATATTCCAGGACCTTTCCAGGCCACACTTCCCTTCTCCTGGTCACCCAAGGCCTAGTCATCCACCACATTTCTCCCCGAGAGGATGCCAAAGTGAGACCCAGTCTTGCAGGGGCCACTCTTTCGCCACCCGGACTCTTGCTGAATATGGACACGTGACCTTGCTCAACCTCCACCCAGCCCCACTGAGCAGAGGCAACGCAGGAAGAGAAGGGGGGGATGTCAGGGGCCCACCCGGGAGTGCAGCAGCCAGCACAGGAATAGGAGCCAGGCAGAGGCGCAGACACCTGCAAGGGCTCCATTGCTCATTTGCTTCTTGATCCATTTGGTATATTTGGTGACGCGGGTGTACACGCCTGGATTCTCTGCTTTTGCGCAGGCCTTTTCCCAGGATAACACCCCAGCCAGAATCCATCTGCCCTCAACTTCACAAGCCAATGGTCCCCCGGAATCCCCCTGGACAAAGAGAGCAGTGATGGAGGCTGTGGGTCGTGCTGGGCCCCAAGGGACCTATAGGGCCCACCCTCTGAGCTCTGCTTGGAAAAGTCTTTCACTCCTTGAGGCTCGCACTCCCAGTGGTCCTCCTATGGCTCCTCTGTTGAGGACCCCACTCCAGAGTAATGCCCAAAATCAATGTCTCAGGAGAAGGCAGGAGGGAGCAGAGCACTGCCTGGTGGTGGTAACAGAGAGGAAGGCCAGGCCAACCCCTCCCCAGGGGACTGCCCCACCCGACAGGAGATCTGCCAGAACCTCCCGGAAACTCACATTGCACAAGTTGTCTCCATAGTTGGTGGCACAGACCATGTCCTTCAGGACAAGGCGGATAACTCGGGGGAAGATGGACTTCCTGTGGTAGATGCGGTCACACCTCTTGTTGTCCATGATAAACACCTCGGCCTCCTGCAGCTCTGTGGTCAGCACGGAGTCAGCTGTGGAGGAGCCCGGCGGAGTGAGCACTAACTCCTCACTGCACGCAGCCCTGACCTCTGCCTAGTGCCGTGTCACCCTACCCTGGAGACTCCACCAAGCCACACCCTGTCACACCTGCCAGACCTCCCTCACCTGCCCCGACCCCCTGCAGTGCAGACCTTGTCCGGCAAGCAGCTCACCCTCCCGGCTTGGCCTCAGGACCACCTGGCAAGGCCTTTGTCTCTTTCTTCCTCAGCACGGGCCCCTACCCATGCTCAGCTGTGACTTCCTTCCAGGCAGGGCATGCATTTCCAATGCCCAGGGCTGGGGGTGTGGCTGATGCTCAAAGTTTGTCAAGTGAATGAATGAGTGAGTGAGTGAATTTATGAATCCCCAACTCTAAGCTTCTGAAAGAGGCAGGTGATCACGCCCAGCCCAGGCACTGCTAGGCCTGAATGAGATGCCCATGTAAACAGTGACGATGGTCACCCCATGAGGAGTGGTCGATCCTAACACATTCAAAGAAACAGGGGCCAGAGACGACAAACACAAGCTTCCCAAGAGGCACCATGAGGGGGCCAGCAGGAGACGGCCTGGAAGGAAAGGAGTGTGCTCTTTGTGGCACCACACCCACCTCCCACCCACCCTACTCACCTGAAAACCTTTGTTTAACCTGGCTCCAGCCAGTCACCCAGCACTGCGTCCCAACCTTCAGGTTGAGGTTGGGCTCAGGGAGACAGATGGGCTGCACGTAGTTGCTGAAGATGACGGGAGTGTGAAGGTGGAGCAGGGCGACATCGCCTATGATGAAATTCTGGCCCCAGTACTTGGGGTGCATAATGATGTCCTTCACAGGAATCCAGAGTGCCCTGGTGACGTTCACAGGCTGCAGCTTGGAAGTGCCAAGCATCACTGAGTACTCCTTGGTGCTGCGGAAGACAGAGAGCTCCACCTGGTAGATACCAGGTTCCCAAGCGAGAATATGTTCCTACCTCCCCACAGCCCCTCTCCCTCAGCAGGAGTCCTGCCTGGTTTGCTGTGTTCGCCCCATCTTGCCTGATCTAGCCCAGGGGCCCTCAGGGTCAGCGGTCTGACTGCCTCTTCACTCATCATTTAAGTTGATTCGAGGCGCCCAGGTCTGTGTGCTGTACATGCAGGCACAGAGGTGTTGCTGTAGTTGGTGGACATGTATGTTCTCTTGTGGGGGGGCTGGGGAGTGTGTTCTGAGTTTTCTTGTTGCTCAGCCTGGGATACACTCTTTGTGACTCGGGGCACCTGCCCCAGCTCAGTCCCTGACCCCTGGACATTCTGAGCATGACTCTTCCCTATTCTGGATGCCCCTTCCCATGCTCTCCCAACCCATCTCCTCCCCAGTTGTTTCGCAGAGGAAATGAGGACACTGGGCTGGGCCCGTTGTGGCTCTGGGTCTCCAGGCCCTGGATGCATGGTCCGCACTCACCCTAGGATGCAGTGGGCAGCAGTCACCACCCAGCTGGAGTTAATGAGGGCTCCTCCACACACGTGCTCATTCTCTATCCGGAGGCTCACCTCCCAGGGCCAATGGCGGGTCACACCCCCATCCTCCGACCACCAGGGTGCACCACAAACTTCAGGCACAGTGACCACATAGAGGAGGAAGAGAATGACTGAGATCAAGGCACCCTCCAGGGCCAATCTGCATAAGGCTATAAACTTAGGGGCTTGTTCCCATTTCAAAGAGGGGAAGACTGAGGCTGAGAGAAGGGCACTGTCCTGCCCAAAGGCACTGAACTAACAGAAATGGACAATGACAGAGATAAAAAAGCATCAAGACAGACACACAGAGACATCACAGCAGGAGAGAGAGATACTAAGAGTCAAATGGAGCACTCAGTACAGAGCCTTAAAACAAAGGAGAAGCAGAGGAGTCCCAAGACAAGAAATGCATTTTCTTGTGTCTGGAGGAGTTCTTAGGCCACACTCCTGAGAAGCTATAATGCTCCCTGCATCTCTTAGATGCAAAAGGCCTCTGTCCCTACACTGCTCAGAGTCAAGAAAAGCTTCTGGCTTCCATGTCAGAAGTTTTCACCTGACCATGCAAGTCCCAGCATGACCCACAGAGGCCCCACACACACAGCTCACACACCCTTAGCGTGCACGTAGTTCTGCCAATCGAGTCGTATGATATATGAATGTATGAATAAACACAGACACAGAAATTCTAAATAAAACATTAGCCAACATTATACTTTTAAAAAGACAATGCACCATGATCATATAAGGATTGTTCCAGGGGTGCAGGGGTAGTCCTATATAGTGTAGTCTCCACATAAATTAGTTCTAACAATAAAGAGAGAAAGACCATGTGCTTTTTCTCCATAGACACAGAAAAAGGCATTTGAAAAATGCAACACATTATTTATGACTTTAAAAAAAAACCTTACTTAAAGTAGAAATGGAAAGGAAATTCTTAACTTTATAAAGGTTAGATATGTCGCAAACCTATAGCAAACATCATATAACATTAAAGAACAGGCAAAGAAGGATCTATCCCATCAGAGGCCAGGAAGAAGGACCCTCTGTAAGGAGGAGAGTATAAAGGAGTGTATAAAGGAAGAGTGTATAAAGGAGTGTATAAAGGAGAGCAAAGGAAGTAATATAGAGGGCACAAGGGGCTTCTGGGTGTTGGTACTGTCCTCCTTCACCAGGTGGTGACTACACAGGTGTGTTCACTGCATGATGACTCCTCGAGCTGGACCTTCCTGTGTGTACCTTTGTGTAATGCATGTAATACTTGAATAAAACAAGTCACTTTGAAAATCAGTAACATTTCTCTATCCCAACCAGAAAATATACTCAAGATAAAATACACTGTCAGTAGCCAAAAATTATAAAGTACCTAGGAATCAACTTATCTAACATCACACAAGACTTCTGGGGTAAAAAATTTTAAACTATAATAAAGGACACAGAAAATTATCAGCATAAAGGGAGAGACATTCTATACTCTTAGACAGAATAACTGAATGTGTTAGATGCAATTTATCCCAATATCAATAAATTCATTTTGCAAGTTAGAATTTTTAGGAAACTTGATAAACTTCCTCTAAAACTGAAATAGAAAAACAAACGTCCACATATAGCTCAGTCTTTGCAAAAGTACAGCAAAGAAGGGCCACTTGTCCTAGCAGATATTAAAACAGATGTGACAGCCACAGAAACAAAAACAGTGTGGTATTATTGCGAGGACAGACAAATGTGCCAATGGAAAAAAAAATACACAACTTAAGATTGTTCCATGTCTTACAGGAACTTCACGTCAACAGAGGAACCATAACGATCATTGGGGAAAAGAAGGACTATGGAGTAGATGGTGTTGGGAAACTGGCTCACTATAAAAGAAATAAGAAAAATAAACTAGATTCCTTGCTAATAGCACTTAAAGACCTAAAAGTGAAAGGTAAAACTGTAAAGTTAACAAAATATGTGACATAAGGTGGGAAAGAACTCCTTAAACAAAACCTCAAAACACAAACCATAGAGCATAGGCTGATTAACTTGACTGCATCAAAATCAAGGAGTTTTGACTCCAGGAGCAAGATTCACAAGCAGAGGGCAGATTGGGAGGGAATATTCGCAATATCTAAAATCAATCCAAGACTTTTATTAGAAATATGCAAGAACTCTAAGAAATCAACAAGAAAAAAGAACAGACAATATATAAAAGAGAAGGTCAAGCAATTTATTAGAAGAAGAAACTCAAAAAACCAAAAGAATATTGAGCCAAGTTCAAATCATAAGTAATGAGAAAAATGCAAATCAAATCAAGAAGTCATTTTATTTATCTATTAGCTTGGCAAAAAATGTAAAAGCTGGATCATGCCAAGGGTTGGTAGATCTGTGGCAATATATACTCCTTTATACACTGCTAAAAAAAGTTTGGAGGGGTGGCCAAATTGGAATATGGGTAGTAGATAAAAGTATGGTAACAATGTAAACTTTTGAAATTGGTAAGTACACTGTGGTTATGTAAGAGAATATTCTCAGAAAATATCCACCAAAGTACTGAGCAATAAAGAGCCATGCTGTAGCATTCTGGGAGGCTGAGGCGGGCGGATTGGAGTTCAAGACCAGCCTGGGTAGGAGTGAGACCTCGTCTCTACTAAAAAAAAAATAGAAAGAAATTAATTGGCCAACTAAAAATATATAGAAAAAATTAGCCGGGCATGGTGGCGCATGCCTGTAGTCTCAGCTACTTGGGAGGCTGAGACAGGAGGATCGCTTGAGCCCAGGAGTTTGAGGCTGCTATAAGCTAGGCTGCCCCCACAGCACTCTAGCCCGGGTAACAGAGTGAGACTCTGTCTCCAAAAAAAAAAAAAAGCCATGCTGCATGTTATCCTCAAATGATACTATAAAAAAATGTGTATATGTGTTCCCTGTACTACTTATATTTTGCAGTATTCTATAAATTTCAAATTTTTCCAAATAAAAACATTTTCTTAATAGGGAATTAAAAGAGGAGGGAACAGAAACAGATCTAGAGTACACACCATTTACACAAATTAAAAATACATGCACACAAAACAGCAATATATATGTTAACCAAAGCACACAAACAGAAAGGTCCACATTGAACACACAAGAAAGGTTGAGGGGAATGGGAGTGGGGCCTGGATACAGGCTGGGATAAATCAATCAGCCAAACAATCAATAATGGATCAGGTGGCATCTGGCAGGACCTATGACAATGGAGGCTCACAAACTGAAGAACAGGAGTAACCCAATCCTCCATCCCTTTTCTAAGGGAAAAGACAAGAACCCCCAAAGGAGCCAGGCTCTGTAGATACCACCACAGGGCCCAGGAGTCTCCATCTGAAGCTGGAGAGTTTAGAGCTTGAAAGGTTTCTGTGTGGAAAAGGGGCTGCATCAGCTTCCTAGACATGTCCCCTGATGGGATTCAACCTGGAATGAATTCAAAGAGGCTCAGCATTCCCAAGGGAGGCCCGGATACTCTTTCCTCTGGACTGTTAGGTCTGTATGTTCTGGCAGCTACAGGCAGTTCTCTAGGAAGCAGGCCCCTGGGACTAAATTCCCGCTTCCTACAGACCCAGAAACACGATCTATGTGACTCCCTTCAGAACATACCCTCCCAGGGGCTGAAGCTTTTCCTGTAGAAGGGGCTCACCCTACCCACCTGGTTTGGTTTCGTCCTCTCTGTAACCTGAAAGAGAAAAGAGGGACAGAGATGGAGCAAGAGCTCACGACAGGATGTCAGCAAAGAGGTGCATTTTTTAATTAACTTGTTCATTCATTCAATCACCAAATATGTCCTAATCTTCCACTCTGTTCCCAGCCTGGGGCTGGAAGCTGGGGAGACAGAGAAGTGTCAAACAGAACCTGCCCTCGAGGAACACAGCGTCCAGTAGGGGAGACAGAAATAAATACACAACCACCTGTATGAGATTAGTACAGGCACAGGGCCACAGGTGTCAGGCAAGCCCAGAAGAAGCAGTGGACAGAAAAGACTTCTGGGAAAAGCGGTTACTGTGCCAAGCCTTAAAGATGAGAAGGTAAAACAGAAAAGTGACAATGACATTCCTTGCAGAAGAAACACCATTGTGTATGCCAGAGATTCCAGAGGATGAAGGGCAAGTCCTGTGACAGCAAGAGATGAGCCAGAGGAGGAGAGTCAGGCCAATCAGCCAGGCTGAGGCCCTCTGGGAAGAGGGAGGCCAACACAGGTGTGACAGGGTCAGGCTTGTATTGTGAAGGCAGTGTGGAGAATAGACAGGAAGGTGACAAGACTGAGGGCAGTGAGACTCCATGGGAGGCTCCACAGAACCAAGGCAAGAAATGAGGAGTTCTGAATGACTAAGTGGCTTTGAGAACAGACGGGGTGAGCTGGATGTGGGACTTAGGGACATGGGAGAGCCTAGGATGACACCACAGTTTCTGTTTTTTGAGAAGAGTGGCTGCTACCCACTGAGCTAGAGAACTGAGTAAGAGCAGTTAGTTTGTAGGAAAATGAGGGCCTCAGTTTTAGATGCCAAGGGGCAGAGATGTTTCTAGGTCTTTTAGGAGGGAGATGTCCAGCAGGTGGCTGCACACACAGACGTGCTTGTTTTAAGAGGCACCATCACATAAATGGCACCTCAATGCCCAGTGAGTTCACCAGGGAGCAGTGAAGAGGGAGGAGCAGGAAACAGAGACAGCACCTTCCAGAACACCAGTGCAGCAAGGATGAGCAGAGCAGGGTGGCCTGGGGTGGACACAAGGAGAGAGAGACACCTGTGAGGTAGGGAAGAATCAGGAGACACAGAAAATGAAACAGGAGCGAGTGGTAGAAAGGCTGGGGACAGTAAGGGCAGGGACATGCCAGGAAGAGACTAAGGGAGGTGAGGACTGTTATTTTGAGAAGTGCAGCAGTGAAGGGGAAAGGGATGGGGCCAGAAACCCAGCAAAAAGAGAGGGGGAGGACAAAGGTCTGAGAGGACGATGGTGGGGCCCAGGGCAAGTGAGCAGGCTGGCCCTGCACAGGAAGCATGTCCCTGGTTCCTGGAGAGGCAGGTGAGGGTGGTACAGATGCAGCCAGGTTTGGAGGGGTCCTTTGAGGTTGGGGAGAGTCAAGGAAGACAGCGCCCGAAAGCCCGTGTTTTCTGAGTGAATGAAGTGCTGCTAGCGAGGCACCCTGGCTGGAATACAGACTCTGGAAGGAAGGTCACTTTTAGAATATTCCTTTTGCGGATGGGGACCAGGAATTTGCCTGGGCCAAACCACGTGCCCAAATGGGGTCTCCAGGGGCCCAGCTCCCTGGGAAGATCAGAGCCTGGGGTGGAGGGGAGGAGTGCGAGAGGCCTGGGGGTGCTGCTGGAGAGGGCAGGCCGGGCGGCTGGGACATCAGCCACGGGGTCCAGATTGGAGGAGAGGAGGCAGAGGGGTCCTCCGCTCTGCTGGTCCCCAGGAGGCTGCAGGGCAGGCGTGGCCTGAGGGAGGAGGACTGAGAAGGCAGGTGTTTACGACCCCTGGAATCGCCCTGGCGAGATCCTGGGAGGGGGTAGTGGAGGAGAGGTGACCGTGGGGTGGGTGGCCAATAAAAGTCCCCGCCGCACGCCGAGGCAGGCCTCCGCCCCAACGCCAGGCAGGGAGCTGGAGGCAGAGTAGGCCTGGTTCAAGGGGGAAGGGGCGGAGCAGAAGGGAGGGACAGTGGCTGCCGAGGCGCCCACCTCACCCGAGCTCAGCATTGGCGGCGGGAGCAGCAGAAGCAGCGTCGGCAGCAGGACTCGGCAGCTCAGCACCGAGGGCCCAGCGAAGAGGCTGGACGGAGAGGCAGCCATAGCCGGGGATGCCACCTGGCGGAGGCAGAGGCAACGCCCACGTGACCGCGCACGTGCCTGGCGCAGGGCCACGTGACCGCACCCCAGCACGTGATGGCGCGGGCACACACTGGCGCATTTTCCGCACCTCAGCGTCCTGCGTGTCCAACCTGGGGGCCCTAGGTTTGTGATTGCTCCGTAGGTGATCGCCCCGGGAAATCACCCCCAAGGGCTCTTAAGTTTGTGACAGTACCCCTAGAACCTGGCTGGTGAAGGCCCAAGGAACCACTGATGGCCCCTTGTTGCCCAGCCTCTGACTACAGCCTTGTTCCCTGGGCCTGGTGCACTGGACAGCTTTACAATTACTTTTGATTTGAGAATCTGGAAAGATGTGGAAAGCAAAGAAAGGAAAAGAACAGTAAGGCTAGGGAATCCATAAAGATGTCACTGGGAAAGTCATATTTGAGCTGGACCAGGACTAAAACAAGGAGTCTTGGGGGAGACCAGAGAAAGGAAAGGCATTTGTCCTCTTTCGCAGACCACCAAAGAGATGGGTTCCAATTAAAATGCCCCACCCAGACCTACCCGATTGAAAATTCCCATAGTGGAACCAGTAATCTTCATTTTAACAAGCCCTCAGGGAATTATGAAGCTAGTACAGCATGAGCTACAGGACTAAGAGTGAGCCATGAGATGGAGAAAAGCTATCCATTGACCAAGAACATCTGAATGGGATGTTCTAGAAAAAAGACATCAAATTTATTAATTTTGTTATTAATTTTGTTAATTCTGGAATAATCAGTGGTTTCTTAAAGCAGCTGGTGCTATGCTCATTAAGAGACCCAGTTTGGTGTAAGCTCTTTGCCTCAACCCCAGCAACAGGTAGGACTGGCACAGACTGCCCACTGAGGCCCACTGATACCTGGGGCTTAAACATTGACCCCCTGGGAGGGAAAAGAGCAGGAGATTGGGAGGGTGTTGATCAGCAGCTAGACAAGGGACATCAGGCCCTGTAATGAGGGGAAAAAAAAAAATCTGTGTATAATACACTGAATCTCTCTCAACCTCCTCCTCGTGGGAGAGCAGATCTTTTGACAAAGTGGGAGTGAGCAGCAAGGAAAAGCAGTGATGAGGAGGAATAGTTCTCATGCCCCAACTTCATTCTTACTCCTAGTACCAGTCTCTCTTGGTTCCCTATCCTTAGCTGTAGGGACTATTAAATTCAACTACAGAGCTCTCTGCAGAGATGCTGATGACTCTAACAGGTATACAATAAGCAGGACCCACTGGCTAAAACTAAGACTCACCTCTCGTAGGTTTCAATAAGAACCAGAAATAGCATCGTTAGCTAAATGGGAAACCAGTTCTCTACAGAGTATACTTTACGCAACCAAACACCCCAGGTGAGCAGAGCTTCAGAACACACAGGAGACTCTCCAAACATTTATTCAGGTGCTTTCTGAAAACTCCCCACTCTATAGCTGCCTCAAAACAACGTGGAGTGTCCCTGGATGTGGCCCCTAGGACACTGAGGAAGGGGGTGCCAAGAATGGGTCACCTCAACAGGGCTTGTGTGGCAGAGGCTGTCCACTCACACATGGATCCACAGTGGGGTACAGGGGAGCTTCTCCCAGCCCCAGACGACTGAGCCACATGTATTCGAGGCCTCGCACCTCTGCAGGGACCTGGCAACGCCTCCTCCACTCTCTCTGAGCAATCACCAAGCTGACTGCTTCACAAAGTCTCAGGTGAGAGCCCTGAAACCATGACCAGGTCTAATGCTTGCTTCACCGTTGGTGGTGTCTCTTCTTTGGCAGATGTTCTCTGAGATGGCGATGAGTCATCACGCCCCAAATGGCAGGTCCTGGCCCCTTAGCTGGCATCGGTCCATCCCCTCCTTCCCACCAGGCAGAGCATGCCCAGGTGTAGGGGTGGCCAAGGCAGGTGACCGGCGCACCAGGCAGGGGCACTTTCCAGGCCCCAGTCTCCCTGCCATGCTCGCTTGTGTGGATCTCCAGAGGGCCAGGGGATCACAACTGGGATTTGAGGAAAGGGCGCGGAGAAGGAGCAGGAGGTTGGTCGGAGGAGATGCCTAAGTTTGAGACTCAGAAACAGGAGGGGAGTGTGCTGGGGCCATCATGGAGTCACCAGGATGTCCAGAGGCAGCACCACACACAGAAACAGAACAAAGCCTGCTGAGTCCAGACAGGAAGCTTGACTCAGGCGACTAATGACCCAGTCCTTATAGAAACTAACTTCCCTATAAACTCCAGGAATTCCTTGCTTACCGCAGCCGAGGCCCCAGCTCACAATCCCCACCTGGATCCACGTGTTATTTAATTCACAGACCAGGGGCCCCCCAGAATCTCACTGGAGAAAGAGAAAGAAACAAACTGCAGGAACAGAACGGGACCCATGTCACAGCAGTTGACTGCATTGTGCTGCGCTGGGGAGGCAAGTACTCGCAGAGCCTCCCCAGACACCCCAAAGACCCTCCCAGCTTAAGTGCCTGCTAATATGAGATTTGAGAGTTGAAAATTTTAAATAAATAAAAACTGTGTACCTACTAAAAGACTGAATATAAATAAAGAAAATGTACCAACTCTGAGATAATAATGAGTAAAGTGCTTACCCAGTACATTGCCTCTTACACAGAAGGGGCTCAGTACATGGAATGCTATTATTGGTGTTACCTGCCGGGCCCACGTACCCACCTCCCGGTTTTATAAGCTGCTCTCTCCTGAAGGATCAGGTAAGGCTATCCCAGGGAGCCTTGGTGGCTTGTCCTCACCTCCCATTAATGTGAATATGTAATGGAGGGGCAGGCCCTGTTGGCTGGAGATTATGAAACTGACAAGACAACTGGAATGCCAAGGCAGCAAGGGGCCTGTGAACTGACCTGGCAGGAATCTTTTCCTTTGGCATTATAGCCAGAGACCATCCCTTTCTTGACCCATTCTCTCTTCCTTACCATATGTTTCGTTAGCATATCATTACATTTCTGAAAGCGAATAATGCTTTGCTCGGTCTCCTGGAGAACAGCCGGCAAGGCAATGGTGCTAAAGTAGCTACAGAGGGATAATTTAGGAGTAAGTGCATCTGCACAGCGGCACAGGACAGGAGCCCCCAGTACCCACTCTGGGTCCTGACCAAGTCCAGAGCTCAGTGTTGACATTGAGAGAGGCGAGCATAAGAAGAAAATCCAAGTAGAAAGAAGAACAGATCAGGAAGTGAGAGGCGAGGCCCTGCCAGCCCGAGAAATGACAACCAAGCATCTGTCACTCTGTCAGTAGTAATGATGGGTTGTCCTGTGCATCCGAAAAGCATCTTTACTTTCTAGAGTAGGGTCACAGACTTTCAGACAGGCAACATCTGAAAGGTACAAAATCCAGCCCCTTCCTAAGAATAAGAGGCCCTGAAGCCTCACTGACAAGGTTGCTCAGGCCCAGCCGACACCACTGGGGGCTGGAGCCTCAGTTCATCAAGGCAGGTGTTTTGGTGAAGGACAGTTCCAATTGGCAGACAGCTCATTACCCTGAGCTGAAATCCATCCCTGGAGAGAACCCACCATACCTGGCACCCAACCCCCAGGTCCTGACATATCAATAGAAATTCGTAACGCACCTGTTAAATTCTCCCCGGCAGCATCTTCTCCACCCTGCTCCCTTACCCACCTGCTAGGAAATGGCCTCCCTGCCTCTCCCTGTAGCCTGCAGGCCAACCACAGCCCACCAGCAGCCCCACCACAACCTCCTGCCCAACAGCCTCACCGTTCTCTGTCAGTTGGCCCCATCTGGTCACCCAGCACTGTGTCCCTGTCTCCACTTTGAAAGGCTTTGCAGGGAGGCACACAGGCTGGATATACGAGGAATAATTCACAGAGAAGGCAAGCATAACAAGGGCAATGTCATTACTCATCGTAAGATATTCAAAATCATGACGAAGAACGTTTTTAACTGGGACCACGATTGCCTTTGAGGAATTATGATGCAACTCATTGTCTCCTAGCTTCACTTTGTATTTCATATGGCTGCAGGGAGAAAACGTGGCCTTCACAGAGATCTTGGAGGGTCTACCTTTCCCTTCTATACATTCCAGGGGTTTCCCAGCCTGGCCCCATCTTCCTATGCCAGCCATCAGCCACTTCCCTCCCTCCACACCACATCCCCTCCAGGGGCCCCTGACCACATAGCCAGCAGTTCTCTGGCGGTCCCCAGACCAGCAGCACCATCACCTGGGGAACATGGGTTGTGGAATGCAAACCTTGGCGGTCGGTGCGTGGCTGCATGCCTGCTATCCAGCACTTGGGAGCTGAGGGGGCGGATGGTTTGAGTTCAGGAGTTTGAGACCAGCCTGAGCAAGAACAAGACCCTCTCTCTACTAAAAAAATATAAAAAATAGGTGCACACTTAAAGTTATAATATATGAATCTATTATATATAACATTAGCAGGCATGGTGGCCATGCTTGTAGTCCTAGTACTCGGAGGCTGAGGCGAGGAGTCGACTTTGAGCCGGAGAGTTTGAGAGGCCTGTGAGCTAGGCCTGACCCCATGGGCACTCTAGCCGGGCCAACAGAGTGAGATCTGATGGCAATCCTCAGCTCTCAGCCCAGGCTTGGTAAAGGCTATGGGGCTGTACCCCTTTTTTCAGATAGGAAGAGTGGAGGGCACAGGTTGTTGTCGGTTCCACCATCCTGATCAGGGGCGCCCATCCCGGAGCCCAACACCTCACCTGTGGTAAGCAGTGGGCTGCGTCAACACCCACGGTTGGTGGATGGAAGGGACCTGCCAGAGATTCGATCACTGAACTGCAGGCTCACCTGCAGGGCCACTCCTCTCTGCGGCCAGCTCTGACCCTTCAGCGTCCCCAGCCAGACTGTTCCCCTTTGACCTCCCATGCAGGCCCGTGCCGACCTGGCACCAGAAACCGTACCTTGAACAACGGGGCGTCCATATGTAGAAATCCCCCCAGGTTCCAAGACTTCTCCCGCTGTGGACGCTGAAGTAACCCCGGGTCCTGGAGGCCCTGCGGGTGCTGGAGACGCTGGCACTGCAGTGAGTTCTGGAATCTTTGGGAAT